TTAATGCGTCTTACTGTCTTACTGTCTTAACTGAGAGATCCACTAGGGAAACCAGACTCGAGGATCCTCCGTAAGACGCATTTTAAAATGCGTCTTATGATGGATTCCACTAGGGATACCGTTTCCCTAGTCCTCTGTGCAGACTGCCACGTCATCACTCCGTTGCGTCACCTCCGGGCACTTGGAGTCAGCTTTTCTCGTTTATGTGTGCCCGGTTGGGAGTCTGATTCGTAGTCCGAGTCTCTATCGGTCAACGTCTCCTTGTTCTGTGTGAGCCTTTGTGACCCGCCCAGTACCCGCTGCCATACCCCACGAGGATCTCTTGCCCGTTGTAGATCGGCCTGGTGGCCTTGAGCCTCATGGTGCTCGTGACGTTATTTATCGCGTACTCCGCAGTCGTCTTTTTGTTGGTCCCGCGTGGGGCGTTGGCGATGGACCCGATGCCCCTCTTACATGCCGCGTCCACGAAGTGGTTCTGCTTGATCTTTAGCGCGTACGGCGCCGTGGTACGCGGCCCGTATCGCTGATCGATCTGTGCGGTCGCTAGATGTTCTCCTCCGTAGACGACTAAAGGGTCACCGGTTCGAAATACCAAAGCATGCCCGCCCCCGGGAGCCCATGCGAACAAGCCCTTGCCGTGTACGTCGTCCTTGATCGTCACGTGAGATACGGACCATGAATGTTGCCAACAGTATGGCAAGCCTATGCACACCACTCGCTTGCATCGCGCACCGGACGCAGACTGCGCGGAGCACCGCTCGCACGTCAGGTCGCATCGGAAGCTGGCCTCGGGCCCTTGAAAATCGAATGTGCACGGCATCGTCATACTTAGCGTATAGAAAAGAGGCATCGGAGCAGGCATTCAGGAAGTTCCGAATGCGATTCCATAGAGTGCTTCGTTGGACCGAATCGTCGTCGCAGAGCACGTGAGGAGACCAGATGAGCACCAGGTCTCACCTCCGTCTTATAGAATCACAATTTGCAGATGTCATTTATCGAGAGCGACAACACTTGGTCTAACTTCGATGAGATGTACTTGCGAGTTCGCCAAAGAAGCCCGGTTAGACTATTCATGCTAAGGCCTCATATGTGAGTCTTCTAAGCATTGAGATGTTTACAAGTCCGTTCAGATATCAAATTAGTGCCTAAACGCAATCACCAATGGTGAAGGCTGGATCTTGCATGATTGCGGGCTTGCCAGCCACTACATCGTAGTACAAATACCAAACTCGCATCCCGTCACCTTCCGCTTCAGATGCTTCTCGTATCGCTCTCAGCAACCGGTCCTCCCGTACCACCCTCTTGAGTTTTTTCTGCTTGCCGTCTACTCGGAATAAATGGGGGTTGTAACGGAGGAAGCGTACGGGGAGGGTGTTTCCCTCGAGCAGCCATGCCCCGTAGAGCTTGATCATGCGGGAGACGTCGCAGGCCACGCCGTACCCGTCGTGCTGGTATTCATCGACTTCCAGAACGATCACCTTCCCGTTGAGGATGATGATGAAGTCGACACGAGCGAAGGTATCCAGGATGCACCTGAAACTGACAGCATGCTCCCGCTTAAAGTCGATGCTCGCCCCTTCCAGGAGCTTTGCTACCCGTTCCTCCTCGCGCTTGCGGCGCTGCTGTCCCTCGGCGGTGTGATAATCCCGAAAGTGCTTCTTTTGGTTGTCACTGGTGACGAAAGCAGCACCGCACTCGATGCAGGCATATGGCCGCTCGCCGGTGTGCGTCCGGCGATGGATTTGTAGACCGCCTCCCTGGGCGAACGTGGCATCGCACTCGGTGCAGGCATACGGGCGCTCTCCGGTGTGCGTCCGCTGATGGCTCCGTAAATCGCTTCCCCGGGCGAACTTGGCGTCACACTCGATGCAGGCATACGGGCGCTTGCCGCTGTGCATCCGCTGGTGGCTCCATAGACCCTCTCCGTGGGCGAATGTGGCGTCGCACTGGGTGCAGACATACGGGCGCTCGCCGGTGTGCGTCCTGTTGTGCCTCCGTAGAGCGCCTCCCCGAGCGAACGTGGCATCGCACTCGGTGCAGGCGTACGGGCGCTCGCCTGTGTGCGTCATGTTGTGCCTCCGTAGATCGCCTCCCTGGGCGAACGTGGCATCGCACTCGGTGCAGGTGTACGGGCGCTCGCCGGTGTGGGTACGTTCGTGCCTGTCCCGAGTGCCTTTCTGAGAAAATGTGACATCACACACAGTGCATGCGTAAGGGCGCTCGCCACTGTGCGTCATCCTGTGGTTCCGTAGGATTGCAGATGTCGCAAATGTGGCCTTGCACTCAGTGCATAGATGTGGTCTCTGCCTGCATGACGGCGTCCTTGCCATGTTTCTATGCCGTTCTGTACATTTTATTTGTCTTTGAGCGGACGCGCTTTAAGGGTTGCAATAAGGACTGTCGAAGGCGAAGCAGGCTCTCGGTTCCTTGTGAGCTGGGCAAGCCGTCCCCGGTCTATTCCCTCCGTATTGTATACAAGTTTTTCCCCAGCGCGACCGTGCGAACTCGATGTCAAAGTCGCCCCCATGGCCCTTCCTTAAGCGCCCTCCGCTTCTTCACATGCAGCCCAGGCCTCCGAGGTAGAAACCCACCTCCCGACCTCGACGATCCTCCCGTCCGTCATGTAGAGGGCGTCTGATCGTCTGGAGAGGCATCGCACCCGACCTGCAAAAACCGCCACGGGATTCAGGAGATTCGGAGAGCGCTATTCGGCGTGACGTTCGAGCGGTGCGTGGTGGCCGCGGTCGGCCATCTCCCCGAATAATAATGTTCGCCATGGGTTATCGAGAACGGTCATGCCACGCGGGAGACACCACTCACACGGAAAGAAGAGCGAACACGCCCACGCGACCAAGCAGGACCACAAGGCAGAGAGGGAGCAGCACGACAGCGACTCGGAGCAGAACGATCAGGCGGCGGACGGCCAGATCGATAGACAGGCGCAGCCCGCGACGTACACCGCCATGACGGTGGACGCCAAGGCCCTGGAGGACGCGCCACCCGCCGGCGCAGCCGTGGGGGCGGGATATGACCAACAAGACGGCATAACCAAAGCCAAGGGAATCACTTTGCCACCCGATGCACTACCGGATCAACAAGCCGGCATGCCGAATGTGCCCGTGGCAGCCATGGTGGTAGGAGCGGCCGAGCCCGCGGTCCCGGGTGAGAACTCACCACTTCCAGATCAGATACCGGGCGTTCCGAACGTCCCCGCTATTATTGCGACTGACAACACGCCCATCGCTTCACAGAATCCGGGCAGCACTGCCGTGAATCCTGACGCAATACACCTCACGCAGCTGCCGCGTTAGTCGCGCATC